GTCCAGAAGACGATGCAATGGTTCCACAACCGTGGCTTTGTTTTTTAGAAAAATATGATAAAAATTAACTAGCCCCAGGAACCCTTGAAGCTCTCTTTTATTAGATGGTACAGGACTGTGCAAAACTGCCCGGACATTCTCCTCCGAGGGATGAATTCCGTTCGTATCTATCTTAAACCCCAAAAATGTTACACTTGGAACGCCTATAACACATTTCTGTGTTTTAATGCGCAAGCCCGATGATTGGAATCTCTCTAGAACCTGCCTAACCTTATGCAGCAGATTTTTCTCGGATTTAGCCGCAATGAGAATATCATCAAAGTATGGGATTACCCCTTCTATTCCCCCTACAAGTTGTTCGATAAAAGCTTGGAAAATCCCTGGCGCCGCGTTGATACCAAATTGTAATCTTTTGACCTTAAAGGCCCCTTTGTGTGTAATAATCGTTTGAGCCCTGGCTGTCTCATCATCTACCGCGAGCTGCTGATATGCCTGGGCCAGATCAAGCTTGGCAAATACTTTCGCATGTCCCAAATCTGCCAACAAGTGATTGATCGCTGGAATGGGATAAGCGGTGGGCCGCAGTGCCTTATTAAGTGTAATTTTATAATCCCCACAGATGCGTACCGATCCATCTTGCTTCAAAATCGGCACAATGGGGGTAGCCCACTCAGGATCTGTTATCGGCTCTAAAATTCCCTGCTTGACCCATTTCTCAAGTTCGTCGTCCACCTTTTGACGAATCCCCAACGGTACGCGCCTTGCCTTTAATCTGATGGGCGTTACGTTCGGGTCTAATTTGATTGAAATCGGCTGGCCTTTATATGTTCCTAACCCCTCTTTGAATACCCTCGGAAACTCTTCCATCAACTCCTGGATTCGGTCTCGGAAAATGCGATATACGCCTGAGACACATATCCCTAACTCTTTGAACCAGTTTCTCCCTAGCAAACTTATGTTGTTTCCCCTGGCCACGATTAGTGGAAGTTCTCGGGTGAAGTTGTTGTATGTGACCTTCACTTGGCATTGGCCGGCAATTCGAACTTGTTTCTTTGAGTACCCACGCAAAATAGTGCGGAAAGGGTATAACTTCGGGGAGTTGTTACCAAAAATCTTGTTAAAAACGCCTTCTGACACGATAGTGTACGGAGATCCCGAATCTACTTGGAAACGACTACTCTTCCCGTTGATTTTGACTAGAGCGGTTATAGCTTCGGTCAACAAAGGATCAGCTACTTGGTTCACGTGGACCCCTGATTTAACTACCTTTTCCATTTGAGACAAAATGGAAAAAGAACGTTTCTCTGAACGGCATACCTTCTGAATATGGCCCGGTTTTTTACAAAGGAAACATTTGCCTTTTCGGTACGGACATTCTTTGCGATTATGCTTCCCTCCGCAGCCTTTACAGACCTTTATTGATTCAGGGTAGCTTGGTTGTCCCTATCATATTCCTGATGCAATCGCGAGTGTTCAATGCCCGGTTCCCCTTTGTTCCGGATTAGACCTACTTCAGTTTCAGTGCACTTGTTAGGCCTAACTTCTTTTGTGTAACGAACAGCAGCTTCAGCCGCTAAGGCCTCTTCCTGTGCTTCTAAAAACGATAGGTTTTTTCGAGCAAAAAGGCGACGTTGGAACGTCTCGTCCAACAGACCACAAACTAATCTATCACATAACATCTCCTCTAAGTGAGGACTGAATTCGCAAAATTCCGCGAGTCTACGCAACTCCGCAATATAGACAGACAGAGATTCTCCCTTCTGTTGATCACGTCTATAAAATTGATTCCTACGAACAATTCGTGAGGGTTGGGGAGCGAAATGTGACCTCAAAACGTCCTTCAGTTCTTGAAAGGATTTCGTGGCTGGCAAGTTGGGAGACAAAAGAGACCTCAACAGGTTGTACGTTTCTCGTCTGCATGCCGTCAGCAGAATAGCTTTCTTCCTCTCTTCGTCTTCTATATTGTTAGCAGTTAGATATGCATCGAGCCTCTCAGCATAAGGAATCCACTGACTTGGGTGTGTAGGGTCGAACTCTTCCAGACAGCCGAAGGTAGCCATTGATCTTGCTCCACGTGGTACCGGTGAAGATTGTGCTTATTCTGTTTCCTCAGGACTTATTTTCAATCCAATCCAATCCTTGTCGCCAGATGTAAAATTCCCGTGAATCTTACATTAGTAGTGCCTGAGAAGTGAATGGACACGATACTTAGAACATTTCACATTTATTTAACATTTATCCGGTAACTACAGAACAGGATTCAGCGACAATCCAAAAAGGGCACACTGCCCTCGGTTACAGGGTTTATATATCGGGCGTCTCGCCCTCGGGTGCTACGCTCGACGCGCCCTTAACATGTCGTGGTAAGACACGACATGACATTGTCGATATCACAATTTTTAGAGTTGGTTTTCTGAAAGCGGTAGCGGTAACTGTTAAAGTTCCCATGCTGGGTGAGGCACTGGGTGATACCAAAAGAGAGTTTGAAATGTTTATTATTAATTCTTTTGTGAATGGAGGGGAAGAATTTGTAACAGTGTCTAACTGTAGTTGAACTGTGCCACTCTTCCTGACATAGCCTATTGGTGATGTCTTTAACATTCTTATTGATATGTTTCAGAGGAATGCTACTGTAAGTTACTGGTGTATTTGAATCAGTTGCCCTTTTAGCCAACTTGTCGGCCTGCTCGTTGCCATCACAGCCCTTGTGGGCCAGGATCCAATGAAAAGTAGCATGGTGTTTGAAATAAATGGCTTAAGTGATTTGGATAAGGCTTAATGCCAGCTTCAAAAAGTATAAGGGCTTTGTCCTGCTTTAAAAAAATATATACCAGGACACCACCCTGGTACACCCTGACACAATTATAATGCTGGGGTAGGGAGATGAAATCAGAAAGACAGAGTGAGGAGTCCAAGTTTTATGATAATCCATGTTTCCCGTAGGGTACCAGAGAGTAACCATGTGGTATTTTGCCCAGATCGGTTAAAGATTTTGGAAGTTTGTAAATGTGTACTCCTGAAAAGAAATTGAAAGAATTCAATTTATGTAGGTAGATATCTCATAACATAAGACTAATTTTTAAATAATGGTGCAGTAGGATTAATAGTAAAACAATGAACAAAGAAAAATACTATAGGCCTACTACAAAAGTTTAGGAAAGTAAATTCACTCTTTATAGTTGTAAGTATCTGATAACATGAGAATTATTATAAAAAAACAAATGATGAAGACAATATAAATAAATCAAATACTCAGCTACTTGAACTGCATGAATCAAAACCAAAATTGAAAATATAAGATGATAATAAGTTTAAAAAAGTCCATCAGGTGGCAAAGGGAATTGACCTCAAATGGAGCAGACAAACAATGATGCCAGACAAATGCCACAGTAAAGATATTGTTCTGGTGCATTTTCCTTTTTTAATATGAAAATAGTATATAGCCTATGTTCATCTGGAATAAACTTTCCAATAGCAAAAGAATTTTAAAAATTGGTTTAGTAGATTCTGAGCAAACAAACAAACATTCTCACTTTATATATTAGTATAGATTAATTTTAACATAGACTTTCTGGAAGAAAAGAATCTGCTTGGAGTCTGATAATTTAGCAGATCATCTGGCTTTAATCAAAAATGCTACTATTGTCCTTTAAAAAAAATTCAATATATATTATAATTGTTTTCTTTAGAATACTGTATATATCTTCAAAACAAACACAAACAAACAAACAATACAAAAAGTAGAAACAAAAATCTGAACAACAAAGGATTTTATATTTTTTATTATTTAAATCAACTGAAAGATACAAATTTTTTCTTTTTAAAACTTGCTTTTTTAACTAAAGTTTTTAAAAAATAAACTTTAGTTAGATAAATAAATGGAAATCCTTGTATGAAATTTCCTTTTGATCCCACTTACAAACTATTGCCCAGTGAAATAACTGACGTCATTTCACTGGGCAATAGTTTGTAAGTGGGATGAAAAGGAAGGGCATATACATACCTTCCAATAAAAATCAGATACATTCATTTTTAAAAAGATACTAGTTTAACTTCTGTATTTTATTCATTAACCTGAAGACAACAATTGAAAATTGTTGAATATATAACCATATAACCAAAACGTACTGGAGGTAGAATAAGTTGAAAAATAAATTACACCGATATAAATCCAGCAAAATTTAATAAAATAAAAACGTTTTCAATCGTTTTCAACGATCTTCCTCAGTTACCAAAAATAGAACAGTAAATATAGAACATAAAATGCGTTCGAAATAAATATAAAAATAAAAATTTATATCAGTGTAATTTATTTTTCAAAAATTGTTGAAAATGTTTATCTAATTAAAGTTTATTTTTTGCTTTTGTGTATATATAATCTTGGAACAAAGATGCTATCCATTTAATGAGTCAAAATACAGTTTTGAATAAACATGAAGGTACTGATTTAGATCTGAAAGTGTTGTTCTTGACATCAGTTTGTCATCATAAAAGACTTGGAGACAAGAATCTATAATTTGAATGCCAATTTAATTTAGATAGTTTTGGAAAGTTTTATTTTTTGGGTGGTTGTTTTAAAATGATAATATTCTATTACTTTATTAATAATTTATTTTTAGAACACTGTTTTTATTTAAAAAATAAAAAAAAATGAAAATTTATAGATCATTGAAATTTGTTGTTGTGTTTTATGTTTGAATCAATTTTTATCTTTACATATATGTAAGTGATTGATTTGACAGTGAGATATGCAATATCTTAAAAATATTTAACTGCATTTTGACTCCGTAAACTATATAGCATTTTTTTGGTTTCAAGATTTCTGTTAAAGAATTGAAGTAAAAATTAAATATTTTTGAATCTAAGATAAGTTTTGTATTTGCTAATAATATTACAATAATATGACAGATTTTTTATCACTGAAACAATTATAATTAAATTATATTCGATTGAAATATAAAATTAAAATAGTTATTCTAGTAATTTTTTTCTACTTTTAGATATCTTCGGTACGGCAGCTATCCTGTGATATCTCCCGACAATGCTTCTTTTCCAGAAAATATGCTTATACCTATGGAACATTTATATTCTTTAGAAACGATATCTCATTTTCAGCCTAGGGAAATGTCAGAATTTCATCTAATGAATCCATTGCCAGGAAGTTGGTATGCTGTGGCATTTATTCCTGACTGGAATCATGAAATTAAACAACAGGTAAGATATAAAAGGCATATTTTTAGTGACAAAAATATTATAGAATATATTACAATGAGGACTTTAAAAATTTTCAACATTCATTTTGAATTGTTAATATTGGACGGATTAAAGAGTCTCTTTCAAAGGATTTGTATCTTTGCAGTTTTGTTTTCATCGTTGCATTTTTAATTGATTGAGTATATTAAAATTATCAAATATTAAATGACTTATCTGCTTTCACTGAATCAATCAAGATACGTTTTAAATGGATTTTACTTATTTTTAAGTGATTATAAAGAAATGTATGCTAAAATTTGTAAATTATATTAAGGGTGAAAACATTTAATTGCATATTCAATTGCATATAAGTACTTAATTAATACCCAGTTAGATCATTTTAAACTACAAAACAACATCTTATCTCACTGAGAATTATTGTAATGAATGTTTTCAACCTTGTTCTACAGACCATCAAGATGGCCTATTGAACAAATTGAAAACGTTTGTTACAATAATTCTCAGTGAGATAAGATGTTGTTGTGCATATAAGTATTTGCCAAATCAGCACTTTCTTAATTTATTTTTCAAGAATATCTAGGATGATTCTTTGTAATATGCTACAAAGATTACTTTAAGAAACTGTACAATTGAATTAAATTTCAATTAACAGCACAGGAAATGTTGTGGTTTGTATTACACTGTTACTGCATTTATTTCCATAACCATCCTAGATATTCTTGAAAAAGAAACTGAGAATGTACTGATTCAGCAAACACTTATTCTTTTCAGCAAAAGCATTTAACATTATTAAACTTTTCTCCAGATCAAAACTGGCATCTGAGTAATATTCCAAATTGCTAGTAGGAATATTACTCAGATCTTGTTATGATACAGAATATTACTGTAGCATTTGTGTAATGTATTAAATTTTTAATGTAACTAGCAGGGCTGTGGAGTCGGAGTCGTGGATTTTTGGTGTTTTAGTCGGAGTTGGAGTCATAAAAAAATCCACCGACTCTGACTCCTTTTTACTTCCCAACTTGTAATGTATATAAAATGGAAAAGTATTGGAATCATGTCAAATTTGACCCTCCAAATTTCTTTTGCAAATCTACGTGTTTGGAGACCTCTCCTCAAAAAAGTCAGTAAAAGGGGAAAAATTTGCGCAAGTGTGTGTGTTGGCGTCTAATTTGTTTAATTTCTTTATTTTCTGTTCTGAGATATTAAACAATATCTCAGAATTCTGAGATATTGTTTAATATCTCAGAACTTTACCCATTCTGAGATATTAAACAATATCTCAGAATGGGTAAAGTTTAAGAGACAAAATTCTGTACTGTAGCTTGCATATAAAGGGACATTAATACTATTAAATTTTGGTTCTTAATTAAAGGATGACAGGGTAAAGACATAAAAGTGGTCATGTGTCATGTTAATGAATATTTTACTCATTATTAGCGATCAAAATTAAAAAATAATAAATAATAAAATAAAACTCGTCTCTACCCTCAAAGTAAGCTTTTTTGTCATTTTATAATAGTACAGTAAAACTCATTAAGATGTTCTCGCCTAAGATGTTAGAACGTTTATGGGGACACGATTTAGTTCAACCACTTTGATGCTTAATAACTAACTCCTGCGTTAAACTATCCAACTTCGATTCTGACCACTCTGACCACAGAAATTATTAGGCTTCAAACACGGTGAACAAAATCATGCCCCCCACACACACACACACACACAGAAAAAACCTCAAATCTTTTGTATATCTCGAAATTTCAAGGTGTCCCGAGTCCAAAAATGTAAAAATTTGAAAGGGATCATTTTTTGTCCGAGTGCTGCATTTCCATCTGTTATATATAACAACCGAAAAAGTAAAAATTATCAAATACATATTTATATATTACTTAGAGGAGTCTTGTAGCTTTGGAATAAAAAGTTTCTACGTTCTATCTTTATTAGAATTCTATTTATTGAATCTTATATTCTGTGGTCATGTGATGACAAGAATTTTCGGGTCTCTTTCAGTAACATATTTGCCCCTGGTTGGAGTCAGAATCGGATGGTAAGGAAAAGTCAGAGTTGGAGTTGGTAGATTTTTACACGACTCCACAGCCCTGGTAACTAGATAATGTCAGATCCAAAGTGGTATTCCTAAAATCCATTCAAAAATTCTAAAATAGTACATTCCAATTTTGAGGACATTTTCAGAGAATGGCATTTCATCTGCTTGTCATTGGGGAATGCAAAGAAGAAAATCAGACGATGAGAGGAAATTTTTGTTATTAAAGTTAATTCAATACAGAAACTCAAGTTGAGTCTGATCTAACATCACTAACTTAAACTTCAAGGTTAACGATACATGGTTACATCATTTTAAGAGTTGCTATAACATCAGTAATCAAAAAATAACGCAGCTAGTTAGCAAAATGAGCGAGTCTTTAAATGAATGCTTCTTGGAAAGACAAATAGTCCCAAACGTAAAGAAAAGTTTTCTTCTTGTGATAGATTCATGGGGTTGACATACAATTATGGATTCATACACAAAATTCTTTAGTGAAGCTGCAAATACACCAGAAATTACTTTAAAAATTGTACCAGAAAACTGTATTTTCTGATTATCATATTATTATTATGATACCCATTATTATCCCACATCAATCCATCGATCCCAGACACATTAAATTGGCATCTTTCAGGGCTTGGATTAAACATGCTTATACACATTGCATGAGCATTCATGACACCATAAAAGAGTTGAATTACATTCTTAGAATAGCTGAGCAACTTGTCATGGCAATTTACAACATGATGTTGAATGCACAAATTCATTTATTTATAACTAAAAATATTCTCGAAATTTCATCAAAAAAATGCATTTGTGACAATACCTAAATGAAAATCTTATGCAAGAAACAAAAATTGTACAATTATCATTATCATATCAGTGAAGTGGCAATAAAATATTTACTACCATTTTGCACAACATACCTTGCGAAAGCAGATTTTTGGCCATGACAAACATGAAAACTAAACATCGTCACCGACTTCAGCTCAAAGATGACTCGAGACTGAAGCTGACCAAAAAGCAACCAGATTTTACAAAGTTGTGCAAAGAAAATTGTGCACATTTGTCACATTAAAATTAAATAACCTTATGTTATTTTCATTATTACAGTGGTACCTCAGGTTACGAACGCCCCAGCATACGAAATTTTCAGGATACGACATGAAATTCGAACATATTTTTGCTCCACGATACGAACAAAAACTCACCATATGACGTTACATTAGTTCGCATTTTTCATTTGTTTTTCTTACTACAGTTATTTTTTTTAATGTATTACTTGGCTTTAATTTGAGTATGTTTTTCGCGTTGGAACGAATTATTTGGTTTTACATGTAATCGTATGGGAAAAGATGATCCACCTTACGACATTTTCATGATACGATCTCAGTTTCGGAACGGATTAATTTCGTATCCTGAGGTACCACTGTATTAGAATTGTATTTTAAAGGTAATAAATGTAAAAAAACTTATTCTATTTATCACTAGCTGTCTACTCACAGCTTCGCCCGCATTATATCAAATTTTCTCGTGGGAGTAAGATATTTTCTCGCAGTAAATTGTAGCCTACATCCATCTCCAACATGTAAGCTATCTCTGTGCCAAATTTTATTAAAACCTGCTCAGAAGTTTAGATGTGAAAAGGTAACAGACAGACAGAATTACCTTTGAATTTATAATATTAGTATGGATTAATATGAATTTCTGCTATAAGGGGTATGCAAGTTTGAGTTCTTTCTTGAAGTGGTACGCAGGAAAAACTAATTGGGAACCACAGCACTAGAACAATGGTTCCCAACTCACTTTTATTGCAGAACCCTTTTCACCTTTGTAGAAAATGTTGGAACCTGACAATTTTTAATGATCATAGATAAAACAGCAAATAGAAACACCAAAAACAATTTGAAAATGTGAAAAAAAGAAAACAAGTTAATAATTGAATATTAATATTATTACTTAATTCAAACTGGTAATTAATGTGAATTATTTAACTTCTTTTTTTTTTTCAATAATTCAAACAGTGCTAGTGCCTTTTGGTACTTTAGTTAGTGTTCATCTGTTCTGTGTCCTTGTCACTATAAACTTTTCAAGTACTGTATTTGCTACATTTTTCTTCAAAACTCTTCTCTCAGCCAGTGCTCCATGATTTTTTAATTTGGGGTATACACAATACTAAAAGCACTAAAAATTTATACAATTTCCACTATATTTTTATATGAAAAATGCTTAAAATATACCAAAATGATTGCAGTATAAAACTCTAATTATCTTTGACTGATATGTCTGCTTGTGTGCTGTACTATTGTGCTAAAACACAGTATAGATAATTGGACCTTAATCCTTTGGCAACATATGACGCTAGTCTGACAAGAGTATCCTGTCACTAGAATCATAGTATATATAGTACCATCTGACTGGCCACTCCTGTCATTAGATTCAATAGGTTTGCGCTGTGAATATCAACAATTAAAGCATATTTAATGATTGTATTATTACTTATATGTTGTATACTTTTATTAATAACACCATTAACCAGCTCAACAGGAAAAAAGCTCCAGGGATTGATGATATCACAGCAGACATCATCCAGGCTATCTGGGCAAGACATCCTGATATGCTTAGCAATATCTATAATAATTGCCTCAGACATGGCACTTTCCAACAGAATGTTGGAAAATTGCCAGACTGGTAACAATACTTAAGAAGGACGGCAGCATGAGGCCAATCTCGCTTCTCCCTGTGTAGGGGAAAGTATTAGAGAAACTCCTGGCTGAGAAACTAAACTGCTACCTGGAAGTAAATAATAAGCTAAGCAATAATCAATATAGCTTTAGGAAGCAGAGGCCCACCACAGCTGCAATTAATAATGTCATCAAGAATATTTCTTCACATCTACAAAATGGCAGGTATGTAATGGGCATTAACTCAAACATTAGCAAGGCCTTCGACTCTGCCTGGTGGCCACTAGTGCTCCACCAACTCTGTACTTTCAATTAACATCTTCAACATCTTCAACGTTTTTATAGACTATCTCTCCAACCGTAAGGCAGTAATTCAATCTGGAAATAACCACTTTGAGTACTCCATAACCAGAGGGTGACCTCAGGGCTTTGCTTGCGGCCCTCTTCTGTGGAATGTGCTTTTTGATGGCTTCCTAACTCAGGACTTTGGGCAAGACTACACCGCTGCCTATGCAGATGACATTCTTATCCTCTTTAAAGCCAATTCCAGATCAGAGCTGGAGACAAAGGGCAATAGAATCCTTCAGAACATTGAGCAATGGGGAAAAAGGCATAAGTTATTCTTTAACTCCAGTAAGACACAGGGAATCATCTTTACTAAGCCCAGACAGAAGCACCTTTACAAGAGGATGTCTACAATTAAAATGGGAAACAGCATCATCAAGGTAACAAAGACCCTCAAATATCTTGGCATTATATTAGACCACAAACTACTCTGGACTGACCATATTGAACATATCACTAATACCACTGGCAAAATTTTTCAGAGTTTGGCTCAGTTTGCTAAAAACACTTTGGGACTGGACTCTAAGTCTATGGCCATCATTTACGACATGGTGTACATTCCTGTCATTACTTACACCTGCAGTGCGTGGGCCACTGCTACCAGCAAATCTCACATCAGAAGGAAGTTCTTGTCTTCGCAAAGGAGGGCATTACTGTATATTGCTAAAGGGTATAGAACCTGTCCCACCTCTAGCTTACTGGTAATCACGAAGAAACCTTCTATATACCTTGTAATCGAAAACTATACAAAAACCTGGGGCACTCTCAGGGGGAGCAGTGTGTCCATAGCCCCAGTGACCGTATCCACACAGCCAACATTGAGAAATCAATATGTTATAGGGACTCCATCAGCCCATATCAGTTACCAAGAATCAAGATCAACAATGATGAATGCACAGACTTAAGCATGTTCACTGTTGGCTCCAGGCAGGATTCAGGTGTCGGCAGCAGCTTTGTGGTCTACTACAGCAGAGATGAAATCCATTCAGACAGCTTTAGGCTCCACCCTGTTGCACTGCATTTCAGGCAGAGCTGTTTGCCATCTTTATGGCACTGCAGTGGTGCAACAGCAGGTACAGTGAGAAGCGTATTTCGATCTATACAGACTGCTCCTCAGCCTTGCTTATCTTACAGAATCCTACTTACCACCCTATCGCTCACAACATCATACAAGAGGTCATGGGCTCCTCTAACACATATTATTTTAATTGGACGAAGGCACACGTCAGCATGGTGGGCAATGAAAGGGCTGATGTACTCACCAAATCGGCAGCTCAAAACACGGACATACATCCTGTATATAATAAAATCCCAATTAAATATATAAAGAATAAACTCAAACAGGATACTTTCGACAGGTGGCAAACCATTTGGGAAACGACCACCGTCACACTACTTTTAAATTCATCTCAGTTATTGATGAATACCTCCATAGCGAATGGATTCACGTCGATCACTTTACCCAGTTCCTGACTGGTTATGGGTGCTTCTATTCTTATCTCCATTGCATCAACCTCTCTCAGACTAATTTATGTGATTTTTGTAATGTGCCAGACAGTATTGATCACTATATTTTTGATTGCATTAGTCTTCAGAAGGAGAGACACTACCTTCGAACCTCTGTTGAGGAGTGTGGGGATGTCTGGCAGAGGGGCACAGGCACCTCCTGAAGCACCATAACTATAAATTATTTAAGGAACTGATTAACACCTGTTATAGGGTCAGCAAAATCCCCAGACTGAGACATTAACTCAGCACCAACAGGCTCTCATCTTATTTTCTGCATGTCTTTCTAAGATCAACAGGATTATATTTCTCACTTGTATATATGTCATTGTATGTTATGATTTAACATTTTCTGCGCACTTTTATTTTAATGTATTGATAATTTTTATCATATTTAATCACTGTATCTAGTATGTATTGTCATGTTTTATTATTTAAACTCTAATAATATGTGATTGTAATATTGCTTCTATCTTGTAAATACTTAATTCAATGTAATTTCTTGTTCACACAACCAGCTATGCTCTGCGACACTGGTATCGTACGATGTAGATTCTAATAAATGTATTGTATTATATACTTTTATTAAAAAATAACCATAAAAATAATGTTATTTTTTTAATGATTTTTTAGCTTTAGATTAAGTTTTACTATTTTTATGGTTTTCATTATCTTATCAAACATTATATCATGATTTTGGTTTTTTCCATTATCAATAAATTGGTTCCCACTATTTATAGAGCTATAAATAACTAGAACCTGTGTGCTAGAGTTATTTATAGCTTTATAGGATGTCATAAGAGGACTTGATTGGATATTAGAACAATTACACTTTATTTCCAAATCTGCATTGCCACATTCATACAACACTAGATTCAATGGATTTTATTGGCAGAACCCTAGGGTTCCATGGAACACAAGTTGGGAACCTCTGCACTATAATACTATATATACTATATAGGACTAGGGACCAACAAAGGAATGGGCAAAATTGGCTGAAAAAAATAAAAATAAAAAAACATTCTTAATTTCAGATGATTGATTATTTCACTTTTAGAAAATAATTATTTAATTAAATGTGTTAGATCTTACTCCTCAGATCTTTTTATTAAAATTACATTATGACTGTATTTAAAAGAGGTGGCAAGTAGCTATCTCACCAAGGGATTAACATAATTGCTAGGTCAGCTGCTATGTAGTACTATGCATTGCTATTAGACATAGTATTGTATGAGGTATACAGTACTCTATCATATTTTCATCCATTCCCTTTGACAAGATCTTGAGTTGACCAGTTTTCCTAAGCTTTTGAGTGCTCATCGTAAAGTGGTTTTACTGTATATGAAAAAGTAAGCAGTTTTATCAACATTATTCAATAAGTTTTTTAGTTATTATTTTTTGATTTTTTTTTTGCATTTATTTTTTATGTGAAACATAATTTTAGATTTTAAAATATTTACATTTGAATGTTGTATATTATATTCTATGAGTTTTTATTACTTAAGGATTTTATTTTTATGCATATTACTTTGATATTAATCAAATTTTACTGAAGAAACATTTTTAGTTTAATGTGAATTTGATTCATCTGAATTAACAGTTACTTACTGCTTTTAAGCAATGAACTTAATTGTTATCATATATTTTCAATAATATTTTGTATTCACAAATGTTAATGTATGTTAATTCAGATCTTAAATTTAAAAGAAATTGATTTGTAATAACATAATTACTTAATCATAAATTAATGTTATTATTTTATATATAATAATAATAATTTTATAGGGAATTAGTCATAAATGTCGCTACAGTTTGGGCAGTATGGCATCTTGGAATCGTCGAACAGATATTCATCTTTTGAATCCTGGCGTCACCTTGAATATTTTGCCCATATCTGTTATATCTTTATTCAAGTAAGTACAACTGCCTATTCATTTTTTTTTAAATATTAAATTCATGTATAGCATAATTATATTAATTTCATTTTTTTTATTCTTTATTTTAATTTTAATATTTTTATTGTTTATTAATTTTTAGTTGAGTATACTGAATTGTCAAAAATTATAAATTTTTCATAAAATTGTTTAGAATGAAAAATTCCTGAAGTATTTATTAGTTGTTATAACATGCCAAAGAGGATAAGTCTAATTTAAATTATTTTAATGATTATCATAAAGTTAGAAAGAATTAAAGTTTTTTACTCATATAAATAGGAAAAGTTTTCCAGTTATTTCTTATTCATAAGAAGATGAATTAAAATTATAAATTTATGCCAAATTTACAAAAGAAATTGTTTTAGAAAAAGTTAGCATATTCTTGGCTGATGAGTGATGAGCGATTCACTGACAAATTCTGTTTTTGCTGCCTTCAGTCACAATAAGCTATGGACATTCCAAATTGAAAAATATGTGGTTGATTGATAAATAAAATTTTCATTTTTATAAAATTATTTTGATAAGAGAGAATAATGTGACCAGTTTTAAAAAATAGTAAAAATCATTTATTTTAATCATACAATTTCATCATTTAGAGCAGTGTTTTGCAACCTTTTTCTACTTGCGGCACACCCATGACTCAACACGGCACACCAAAATGGTATTCCCCTCAAAAACGTATGATATGATGCTATTAATAGAATTATGTAATGCCACTAACCCATTATTATTGTTATTAAACAGACATCAACACCTACCTGTAAGCAAATTTATTTTACATATAATTTCTTAGAATACATAAAAATGCATGGCTTGTAATAAAGAATAAGCAAACATCATCTTATTTCATCAGTGCTGCAGCAGAGAATGAAATACAAGCATAAGAAACACAACAACTGTGATAAAAATATATAAATAAAACTCAAAATTAACAGAATATGTAAAAATTCTCGTCATACCTTTCACCATATGACGGCACATGGTGAAAGGTATGACGTGAATTTCAAGTTTTATTTATATATTTTTATCACAGTTGTTGTGTTTCTTATGCTTGTATTTCATTCACTGATGAAATAAGATGATGTTAAAGCAATAAGCACACATGTCGTCCCAGTACTCAGCTATTCTTTTGGAGCTATAGATTGGACTCACACAGATCTTGAGAAACTCCAAATGAAAACAAGAACAACACTTACTAACCATAAACAACATCATCCTAAATCTGCCATAGAAAGATTAACCCTTCCATGTAAAGATGGCAGACGTGGCCTGATCGACATGGTTAACCTCCACTACAAACAAATATTGACATTGCAAGACATTGCGAGAGTTTTTCTACAAAAAACAAGAATAATCACAGTTACATAAAGCAGTAACTCTAGCATACTCAAATAATACACCATTAAATTTACATTCACAATGTATGGACATGATACCACATATAAATAGCATAGACACCATTAAGCAATCATGGATGCGAAAGGCACTCCATGGAAGACATCCCTATGACCTGGCCAAGGATTTTGTTGACAAAACTGCATAAAACAGCTGGTTAGCTTGGGAATGCCTCTTTGGGGGCGACAGAAGGATTCGTGGTTGCCATACAGGATCAGGTCATAAATACTAAAAACTACAGAAAACGCATACTCAAAGATACAACAATCACAAACGACACATGCAGAAAATGTCACATCATGCCAGAAACTATACAACACATTACATCTGGATGCAAGCTCTTGGCACAGACAGATAATTTACATAGACATAATCAAGTAGCAAATACATCAAGAGCTTGCATAGAAACACAAATTATTAGACATTATGAACCATACTACAAATATAAATATACAGTAGAGCATCAATTATCTGAAAGTCAATCATCCAAAACATCAATCATTCGAAAGAATTCCAGTCGGCAAATTTAAATTTTAGCCAGTGTTGTGGCACTGCAATCTTTGGCTGTGTTAGGCTACTCAAATATTTTACGTTTTTGATACTAAATTAACTTCTGAAATATAATTTTTTATTGTTTTTATATTTTTCAATATATTTATTTTGTTCGTATAAAATAAAAAAATAATTTTTAACGATACAATTGTCTTCGTTAGGCTTATCATCAACGAAAATTCAACACGAAGCGACACACAATGGAGAAAAATGTCAAGATGCGATAAATTAATATATTTTTTTGTACATAATCGGTTATCCAAAATATCGGTCTTCCGAACAACCCCAGTCCCCAATTGATTCGGATAATTGACGCTCTACTGTAAATTCAATTATTAAAACCAATGGGATCGGTGATAATATTAACACACTAAAAATAAAAATTTTTAGTTAAAAAAACAAGTAAAAAATTATACTTTTTCTATTTCCGACTTCAAGGATTCTATGAGCCAAAACAAGACAAACAAATGGCAAGGAACAATCATCATTTTATTAATTTTATCCAAATGCATTTCGCCATCTAGGCCTCCTCAGTGGATACATCAAGATGTTATTCGTTGGTTACGTTTTATACCCAACAGCCGTTCCCAGCATGCATCAACAATCATTCCAGCATTCAAATTAAGTAAATTTACATGTTCGGCGATACAGAAATGTTCTACAATTTTTCTTTCTAAGTTATTTTCTATTCTATACAAAATTTTAGTATTTTTTATATTTATATTACAATTAAATTTTCTGCAATGTAAAAACCATGCTGATTCCGTTCTTCTCAGTCTAATGGCTGCCTCATGTTCCTTTACTCTCAACTCCAATCTTCTTCCGGTTTCTCCAATGTAATAATTTGGGCTTCCACATGTACATGACATCCTATATACGACACCGGCGATTTTAAATTGGTCTCTGGGCGAATTTTCACTGTTTATTATGCTGATAATGTTTGACATCTTATTCTTTTGGCTCGCAACTATGCATACAGAAAATTTTTTAAATATTGGTTTATATTTTTCAAAAACTTTAGTAACATAAGGAAACTTTACATAAGAAATATCTTCTATGCTGTTTTTAACATTAAATCTACGTTTTAAATATAAATTGTACCACTTACAGAGAATATGCTTCGGATAATCATTTAACTGAAATTTTTTAAACAATTGTTTTACTT